AGATAGATAGATAGATAGATAGATAGATAGATAGATAGATAGATAGACAGACAGACAGACAGACAGACAGATATGTATGGTGCATACATATCTAGATGTATACATTGTAAACAGTGGGGCAAGTTGGTCCCTCTTCAAAATTTGTATCCCCTTAGAAAATAAAATACACCGGCATAAACATGAGTGCAAAAACTCTTTTTTTAAAAAAAATAAAAATAAAAGTAGAAAGCCATTTCTAAATGAAGCCCATAATGACCCCTCCCAGCCCTTTCCCTGCAGAGAAAGAAAAGGAGGGGGTCACCATTGGCTGGTCAGGACATGGTGTCCCCTCCTAAAGGCAGAAGTCTCCAAACTTGGCAACTTTAAGATTTGTGGACTCCAACTCCAGGAGAATTCAGGAAGTTGAAGTCCACAAGTCTTAAAGTTGCCAAGTTTGGAGACCTCTGCCTTAAGAGATGCTGCAGCTGATGTTCTCCAGAACGTTCTTGAGCCTTGGGACAAGACTTCCTGCTCGTGGGTTTCCGAGCCTTCAGGAGCCCCACAATTTTTCTCCATCGTGCCACCTTTGGGTCTACCCCCAAGGCAGGCAAGTTCTCCATCCAGGTGAGGGGAGCAAGAGGTCCTAATCCAACTGGCTCCCTCTTTAAATGGATGGGGAAGAGGGGCTTGGATGGAAAAAGAGCACGTTTCCACCATCCCTAACTCTCTCAGCCTTCTTGGGAGCCACTGGGGGCTTAAGGACATGGGGAGGGGCGGGAGAAGGACTGACCACACGGGCTTGTCTTTTGGGAAACCTTTCAGGACCTTCCATGGCAAGGCTCCCCCCGTACGTTCCTGCCCTTGTGAACCTTCTTGAGAGCACTTTCCAGGGCAGGGGTCTCCAACCTTGGCCACTTTAAGCCTGGAGGACCTCAACTCCCAGAATTCCCCAGCCAGCTTGGTCTCCAACCTTGGCCAGTTAAGCCTGGAGGACTTCAACTCCCAGAATTCCCCAGCCAGCGTTGGAGACCAAGCTGGCTGGGAAATTCTGGGAGTTGGAAGTCCTCCAGGCTTAACCTGGCCAAGGTTGGAGACCCCCGTTCTAGGGCTCCAAATCTCCCTGCTTGTCCATCCAGGACTTCCTCCAAAGGACAGGGAGTGTCAAATGGGTGGGCCAACTAAAAAAGGCCCCTCCGTTCCCCCCACTTCAACCTCCTGCAGGCAACCACAGTCGAACACACCCACCTTACAACGAGCCAAAGGAGAAGACTGCCTCTTCCTAACCGTGAGTCGCAGCGTTGCACCTGGAGATGCCGGTGGCAGGGGAGGGGTGTCTCCAGCTCCCCAGCCCCCCTCCCCACCCCCCGTTGCCCCCCCTCCCCACACCTGCAGCCCAAGGAATGTTACGTATCACATTCAGTTTCACAGATTGTACATTTATTGAAAGACGAACTACTCTCTGGTCAAAGGACAGCGGTCGGCTCTTCTTTTTACATCTCCTGAACCCGAGAGTTCCTCTTTCGGGATTTTTTTTTTTAAATTATTATTATTATTATTGTTTTTCCTCCATCACCCAAACTAATCCCTGCTACCCTTTCCACATCCGAACTAGGTTGAAGGTTTTTTTTCCCTCTTTTTTTTTTCAATAAAAAAAATGGTTACTATGACAAAGAACACATTTCACATTAAGATATTCACGCACCCACAGTGCACAAGCTTGCAGATCTAATGATTTTTAAAAAATGAAAATGATATTTTATTATTATTATTTTTTTACAAAAGGGCTGTCTTTTTTTCCACTTCTCTATCCCTTTTTCCACATTCTCATTTGCAGAAGAATAATTTCTTTCAAAGCTAAATTACAGTTTTTAGGCACAAGAGCCCTTGGAGAAATTTGTGAATGCTGGGTTTTACATTTATTGGTCTCTCACGATGACCCAGGAGTAGTCCTTGTGCTCAAACAGCTCTACTCTGGCAAATAACAATCAGAGTGCTGAAATCTTTATCCGGACCACTTTAACATTCTGACAAGAAGCAGCCTCCAAATGCCAATTATAGTGTGTTTTTTGGAACCACTGGCCATTTCTCCTAAGGGCGTTCTAGATCAGTAGATGCAATCTAGAATGCCCACTCCTTTTGCAAAGCCCTTTTTGGCCAGATTTTTGCATTAGACAAGGGAGTTGCGTTTCCTTAAAGATATATAGATATAGCGCCAGGGCCTGGCTGCAGATCCCCTTGTGGCTCACCTACAGCTGATGGAGAGGGAGGCCAAAACACTTGAGCCAAAAGGAACCACATCCTCCACCACCGTAGAGACCAGAGACCAGCTGCTTCTTTCCCCAAGGGCTCAAATGGCCAAACTTGCCGTGCCAAAGACTGAGTTTGATGCACTAATGGCCACCTAAGGAAGACCTCAGCTCTAACTCCATGGATTTGGGAAAGTCATCCCTTGCTCTCTTGAAAGGTCTTTCTGAACTGAATGGGAATTGAGGGGCTGCCAAGCCGAGCCTTTGAATCCCTTGCTGAATGGCTTCTCACTCCCCGCTCCCCACCCCTGGCCAGGAATCAGGATGGACGCCCATCAGATCGGCTACCAGAGATCAGGTGCCCTCGGGGGCTGGAGCTTGGGGGGGGGGCTGTGTCTTCTGCCAGCCCGGTCCAGCCCAAGACTGCGCCCTCGGTCTATACATTCTTTTAAGACAGATTTACAGTTCTTACATCCCAGCCTTAGGCATATTTATATACATACATTTGGACTGCACTCCAAGAAACCTCCAGGGGATGCTGCTTTCCAGGGCCATAAAAGTACCCTCAAGGTCCAACTTGGCCAACAGCATTCATGACATTTGCATTTACATTACGGCTATTCTTCCGAAACCAGGCCACGATTAACTGGCTCCTGAAATTCAACACAATATATAATTCACTCAAATATATTAAGTTAGGAAGGAACCGTTTTTTCAACAGCAGGAGGGGCCACGCCCTGCTGCCCCCAACCTGGACGGGAATGACCTACCAATGTTCCCAAGCTCCCTATTTTTCAATGGAGAGCGGTTGGAGGGGGGGGGGTGTCTCAGGGACGTCCCCACAGCTCCTCTGGAGGCAGCCCATCCCAGATGCTCTCTTGACGGTTACAGGAATAATTGCGGTGAGAAGAAAGTACTGAGAAGGAAGGAACCACCTGGGCATCCCCAGTTAACCTTCATGGATTCTAGGCGGGGCAGGTTAAGCACCACATGGGGATATTCTCCCTCCAACTCAAGCACTTTGTAAAATCTTCTTTTGGGGGGCTACATTCCTGCTTTCCCAAACTCTACTTCCTAAAACGGGGTGCTTAAGAGTTTCCTGCATGTCTCTCAAGGAACTAGCTTGGACCAAGACACCAGCTGGCCCTTCATTAGCCCATCTCTATCCAAAGAAGGATCAAGGAAAAGGGAGGGTTACTTGATTTTCTTACTTTAGTAAGAATTAAAAATAAAAATAATAATAATTAAAAGAAAGATAAAAAGGGAAAACATCTACTGTAAACATCCATATTTTAAAATGTTTCCCTCTGCAAAGCAAGCATGCTGGCCCACCTATTATCTATATAGCCTGCATTTTAGTTTCTCTGTCAATCTCTCTCTCTTTCTCTTTCTCTCTCTCTCTCTCTCTCTCTCTCTCTCTCACTCTCTTTCTCTCTCTAAAAAGGCAGCTATTTTACATAGACTTTTAAACACAACAGTTTTTTTTTTAAAAAAAACATTTCGTTGACTGTAAACACTGGAAGAAAAAATGTTGGCAAAACAAAGGAACGAAAAGAAACCCTCCCCGCCCCCAAACCCACAAAAACAGAAGAGAACAAACAAACGGAGAATACTGTGGTTTGAAACTCATCCTCCCAAAGCTGCCCAGCGCATTCTCCCTCAATGCAAGGATAGGGATTAAAACGAGCGATTTGCAGGGCGCAACCAGCAGTCAGCCATCTTCCAGGAAACCCATGGAAATGAACCCGAGGATGGGAGGGTGGGGGGCTCATTGCCAAGGATTCTTCCCCAGAGGAGAACCGCAGCTGTGCCCCCCCCCCAAGGGCTTCAAGACACGAGAACAGGATTCGGTTAAGGAGGTGGGGAGACGAACAACACACAGAAGGAATCCGAAATCAACCAGGGTGGGGGGGGAAAGAGGGAGGAAACGGCGATTTATTAACGAGACTTTACAGGTATTTTTTTTTTCCTCAACTTAGTTGGAATATATAAAAATAAAAGATTTGGGGCCGGCGTTTACCGTTCTGCTCGGCCACGCCTTGCTAATTCTGTTTCTGATTCTCCCTAAATTTGCAGTAGTTAGTTTGGGTACATTGACGCGGGTGTTTTGCACGGACTGTCTGCTGTCCTCGAAGAAGTGATCGTGGAAGGGTGGGGGGGAAAGGGAGGGGGGATTTCCTTTCCTCTTCAAAGCAAGTGCACATGAAGTAAGATCCTTTCTACAAACCTACCCAAACAGAAAACAAACAGAAAAACAAAAACAAAAAAACAAGCCCTAATTAAAACAATCCCCCCCCCCCCAATAACCAAACACATTTTCCCCGTTGTATGCATTTTTTTTTGTCTGTTTTCATTTAAAAAAGGCAAAGACACTAGAGGAATGAGATGTGTATTTTTTGTGTTTTAAATGCTCAGGTGAAGCTGTTCTGTCAATTTTTTTTTTGTTTTGTTTTGTTTAAATTTCCCGCCTGCTCTGCTTTCGACCCACGGTGCCCATCATGCTTTGCTCTCGGTTTCATTTGTTTGTGTGGCTTCGTTGGGGACCGTCTTCACTTCTGCGGGGGCTGCGTTGTTGGCTTCTGTGGCGGGAACGGCCGGCTTTTCTTCTACAGCGTTTTTCCTGGGTGGAAAACCAGAGAAACACGGCGGGTTAAGAGGGAGGTTGGTGACGCTTATTTCAAGCAGAAGGCCGGGGAGGAGGTCAGGGGCAGGGACCCCCCAATTTGGAGGCCAAGGAAGGAACTCAATGTGCTGGATGACGGTCATCAATGGTGGCCCTATTGTCAACTCATAAAATATTTCTGTGGTCTTTTAGAGTTGCCAACAGAAAGGGAGGAGGAAGCAGTGGGCAGCTTGCATTCCATAAATGTTTTTAAAGATAGTTTCTAGGTGACTGAGGTTTCTGCTGGGCAAACATCTAACTGGAGAACATGATTCTTGGCTATAGCTGTATCCCATTGGAGAATATGAATTATGATACACCCAGGCAATGGGGGAAACCCAGGGTCAAGGGTGACAGTGAATTACATGTCTCAGAGTCGGCTACACCCAGGCAGTGCCGGACATGTTAACTCCTAATAAATCCTTTTGGAGTTTGGCTAGAGACTCATGATTTAAATGGGGTTAATTATCAGAATCCGAACACCTTTTTGGAAGAATGATCTGGAGGTCACCAGAAAAAGTGTGTAAGAATTGGCTTGGCGAGAGATTTCCCAAGCTTTCTTTCTTTCTTTTTTTGGTGAAGATATTTTTTTTTGGGGCGTTTTAGGCGCATCACACAATGCAAGCACTTAATGGACTTGGGAGGGTCCCAACAGGGAAAAGAAATTGGTGGGAAACCACATTGGCCAAACTTGTTTGGGAGAAGCTCTGGAGCCCTGGCCATCCAGCCATGATGCCAACAGAAGGCCTGGTCACCTGCTCCTCGGGAGACCTCCTGAGCCCAGGACTGTTGCCTTTCCTGCTTCTCCTCACTTGCGCTCAGGCAGTGGTGGGATTCAAACAATCTAACAACTGGTTCTCTGCCCTAATGATTTCTTCTAACAACCAGTTCACCAAACGGCTCAGAAAGTTAACAACCGGTTCTTGTGAACCGGTACGAACTGGCTGAATCTCACCACTGGGTTCCGGGTGAGAGGAGGACAAGTTTGAGAAAGCTCAAAAGGTGCCACCTGGAGCCATTGGATGATGCCTGGCCTTCCTGACCCTTGTAAACCCTAAGTTCTCTCTTTGTTTCCTATTTGTGGGGAGGACCACCTGGGGCTTAGGAAGTGGATTTTTGTTCAACAGCACAAACGTGTGATGGGGATAATCACCATAATTATCTCATCACTGTGAAATCTTTTTCTACAAAAGCTCCATCACCAGAACCATATTTGGGGAGGACAGCTTGTCCTTTGGCATCTGTTCAGAATCCTGTTTTTCCAAACTCCAGATTTTCTTCAGGATTCTTAAGGCTCTTCCATTTTTTTGGCCCTTCTTAGCATGCCTCCTCTCTTCCTTTCCTCTCCTTTTTTTCCTTTCCTTCTTCCTTTCCTTTCCTTTCCTTTCCTTTCCTTTCCTTTCCTCACCTTTCCTTTCCTCTCCTCTGTTTGTTATTTTTAAGCTCAGCAATCCCAAAGCCCTCATAGGGCAGGAAACTCTGTTGCCCCTTCCCCAATCTATCTATCTGTGTGCTGTTCTAGCCAAGAGCCTACCAAAATTCCCCTTCCCCCTTTCAGACCCCCAATGCTTCTCTGGACCAGGAGGCAGAAATGGGTACGGGATGTCTACACACCATCTGGTAGGACTTTGTGCTGAGGACAGAATGTTTAACCATTCAAGGATTTGGCCAACCAGCCCAACCTGATCTCAAGGCAGCCTCAGGTGACCCAACCACCCTCCCTAGACAGGTAGTAAATCCTCAGGTGGCATCTTGGCTGCCCTTTCAGGTGGAAGGCCTCAAGGCAAGATGGGGGAAAGTCAATTTCGCTGTAGCACCTAGAGGACGAAGCTGAACCCCACACTTCCATTGTGATAGTGAAGGAGCCACGGTGCAGGTTAGCTTGCTTAGAGGAAAAGCCAGGTTAACACAGAGAAAGGGGGCAAAGCAGTGGACCGTCGACCCCCTCCCCAGCACGGGAAAGAGAAGGGGCGCATCGCAACAGGGCACAAGGGGGAGGCCTACTCTGTCTTGGCAGGCGCTGGCGATGCTGAAGTCTCCAGGGTGGATGCAGGGGCTGCGGCTGGGGCTTCGACAGCGGGGGCCGCTGTGCCCAGGGCGGCAAAAACATCCTTGGCAAGGTCAAGGTCGGGTGTCTTGAAGGTCCCCTCGTCCATTTTAAAGTCCTCATTCTGAGGAGGGTTTCTGGTGCCCCCTGGGGCTGCCTCGCCTTTCTGCCCCCCCGCGGTCTTCAGTGCCTCTGTCGGGCTCTTTGCGGCGCTCTTCCGCGCGGATTCCTTCTCGGGGCTCCTGGCACTGGAGGCTGCCTCCTGCTTGGCCTCGGAGGAGTCTGGAAGGCTGGCTGGATTGGAGGGTGGGGAGGCAATGGCAGGGCCCTTGGGAGCCTCGGGCCCCTTGCTGGTGGAACTGGGGCTCAACACCGCACCCTGGTGGTTGAGGACATTGGAGGATAAATTGCCAGCGGCTTGAGGGGATGTGGGAGTGTCGCTGAGGTCCACCAGGGGAGCCACTTTGGGGGCGGAGGCTGGTGGGGGCGAAGGGGCAGCGGCTTTGGAAGGTGTGCCCTGGCTGGGGGGCCCCATGGTGGCATTGGGTATGGGGGTGTCTGGCAGTGTGATGCTGGAGGTCAGTGTGGTGGTCTCACTGGTGGGGCTATTTTGGGCAGTGGCAAAGGTCTCAGTGATGGTGTCAGAGTTTGTGGTGACTGTGGTGACGGACGGCATCATGTCCTCTGTGGCTGCCACGGTGTCGGCAGGGTGCCTGTGAGGAGGGTGGGAAGGAAGAGGGGAGAAGGGAGAGAGAGAGAAAGAAAGAGAGAGAGAGAGAGAAAGAGAGGCAGTGACAGCCATCAACGTCGCAAGCGTTTTGGAGGAGGAGTCAATGCAACAGCCGGACTCGCATGCGGTTACTTAGGCACAAACAAGGGGCAGGAAGGAGAGAAACAGAGGCAAGAGGATTGAGGCCCAAGGACAGACATCCAGCCAGGACGGGGCCACCGGTGTCGGGTGTAAGACACGGCGACCTTGACATGTGTCATGGCGCCATGGTGTCAACGGTGCAATTGCTGCATATAAATCATTTATCTCACTTGTACTATGACATCACAATGACCATGGCACCCCCATGGGCACCCACAGGAGGGGTCTCTACAAATGGGGGGTGATCCTGAGCTTGTTAATTAAACAGAACGATAGAAAATATAAGAATGCACAAATATTCCCTGTTGGCGTTGCTCATCCTTGGTTGGACATCCCTCCTCTCTTGCCCTGCTCGGGGTCTCCAAGGGCCAATTGAGGCAATGGATAAAATGGACTCCAGGCCACGAAAACCCACACAGAGAAGGAAATGCACAACTCTCTGGAGACCCCTACACCCCCCTCCGTTTCTCCCTTGGGATTTCCAGACTTCCAGATGCTGGACCTGCTCCTGGAGCGACCTCAACGCCCTTCTCACCCACTTTTTGGCACCCAAGGTGGGTGCCTGGCAAGAGGCCCACAGAGGCCGGGAGGACAACGAGCATCCTGGTGTTCTCCTCCAGGGGAAGTAAGGGTCCCCCCCTCCCAACCTACTCTGGCTCAGTGAGCGGGGTGGTTTCGTTGGGTTCGGTGTGTTTGCCTCCATCGTGATTTGGAGTCCGTTCTTCTTCCGTCCTCACTTCAACGATGGGCTCTTTTGATTCGTCCTTCCTGTAACGGAGGGAGGGATTCGGAGTTGAAGTCTTTCAGTTTGTGCCCTGAAAAGATTTCTTAACTTGCAACGGTTGGACAGAAGAAGCAACAGTGGTGGGATTCAATTTTTTTTTTTTACTACCGGTTCTGTAGGCGTTGCTTGGTGGGTGTGGCAGGGGAAGGTTACTGCAAAATCCCATTCCCTCCCCACGCCACTTAACCTGCTTTCCAGCTCTGTTCTCTTGTGCAGGGCAACAAAAGAAGACCCTGATCAGCTGGGACTCAATGGGAGGCAGAGAAGAGATGGGGTTTGTGGGGCCAGTCAGAGGTGGGATTGGCCGGTTCTCCGACCTACTCAAAATTTCTGCTACCGGTTCTTCAGAACTGGTCAGAACCTGCTGAATCCCACCTCTGAGAAGCAACCTAGAACTAAGGAGAAATTTCCTAACAGTGAGAACAATTAATCAGTGGAACAGCTAGTCTTCAGAAGTTGTGGGTGCTCCAATCACTGGAGGCTTTTAAGAGACTGGACCAGAAGACCAGATCTGAAATGGTACAGGGCCCCCTGCTTGAGCAAGGAAGCAAGGGAACAGGGGTCTCTAACCTTCGCTACTTTAAGCCTGGAGGACTTCAACCCCCAGAGCTGGCTGGGGAATTCTGGGAGTTGAAGTCCTCCAGGCTTAAAGTTGCCAAGGTTGGAGATCCCTGGACTAGACCATCTCCAAGGTCCCTTGCAACTCTATTATTATGTTGTGCTGCCCCTTTCCTACTCATTACACTGCTGGTGGATTACGAAGACAACACCCTGGCTCACCTCTCCTGGTGCCTCTAGCTTGCAAAACGTTAAGCATGGGAGAAGCTAGAAAGAGGCAGGGCTAGGCTAAAATCTTCCCTATTTAGACTCAGTGCAACCCAGTTGGAATCCAGCAGCTCAGAGAGAGAGAGAAATTTTCTTGCTTTCTACATTGCACAACAAGAGAAAATTTGATCCCCAAACTGACCGGCCTGGAAATGCAAAGTGTCCCTTATCTTTGCCAACTGACCACTTGGTTTCTACAATCCTGTGTTTTTATCTCCAAGTCTTGTGGGTGGCTGGAAGGGGAGTCAAGCTGCCCTCCTTACTTGTCTGGGTGAGATTTCTAGCGACTGAGGAAATCATTCAAAATTCAAGGCTGCTCTGAGAGGTGCGGGGTTTTGGGGAGTCGCAGTTTGGGGAGCCTCAACACCTCGTTTTGCCCTTTCTGAGTGGGTTCGGAGAGGACTTTGGAAGCCACAGTTCCAGGGTTAAGCGAGAGGATGTTGCAGTGTTTGGAATTGAGGAAGCATTAAACTGGCAATGGCAAAATAGCCGTGACCTGGGCAGGAGAAAATGTGATCCATTAAGAGCTGCAGGTTGTAAGCCCTTTGTTGTTTATCTTCTAAACCAGGGCCTCCAAACTTGACCACTTTAAGACTTGTGGACTTCAACTCCCAGAATTCCTTAGCCAGCCAGTTAGGCTACTCTAGGATGGCTGGGGAATTCTGGGAGTTGAAGTCCCCAGGTCTTAAAGTGGCCAAGGTTGGAGATCCTTGTTCAAAACATTCCCAGGGAGCTCACATGAGGCTCAGACCCACTCGGGAATTCTGCAAATACGATAGTGATGGCCAGTCTTGGTAGCTACCAGCTCTCACCCGATTTACACAGGTGAGAGCCTACATCCCCAGTGAACTCAGAACAAAACAGGGACCCAGCAAACGAGCAAGTGCCACCTTCTGCTATGGTTCAAGAGCAGGGAAGAGGAGGTGGCTTCCTCCCACTGAGCAGGAGAGCAGTTACTCACGAGAAGGCAGCTTTGCCCTCTTCCATGTCCTTCCCCTTCGCACCGGGACCTGATTTGCCACACAGGTTGACGGCAATGCACATGAAAAGGCCACACTTGTTCAGGAAGTAGCAGGTGATGTCCACGGCCACCATCAGGAGGATGAAGATGACGATGAGGATGCCCACGATGGCAGCTGTGCCCAGTCCCGACGTCGGGGTTGTGCTGGCTTTGGACCACAAAAGGAAGTGGAGAAGACATGATGAGCAAGGAGGCATGGCCAGGTTCTGCTGGGCTCGGGGAGATGGGGGTGGGGTGGGTCCATTCAGTCTCCGCCCACCAGGGACACCACTTCTCGTCTACGGAGATTCTCCACCTTCCAGGTCCCAGTTGTCCCAAAGGTGCTTTCCAAAAGGCAACTGGACTTTCTTGGTTTTTCTCCTTGAAAACATTTCGCTTCTCACCCAAGAGGCATCTTTAGAAGTAAAGAAGCCTTGAAGAAGCTTCTTGGATGAAAAGCAAAATGTTCCCAAAGGGGGGAAAAAACCCAAGAAAGTCCAGTTGCCTTTGGGACATTTCTCCTCTCTCCGAATCCAAGCAAGTGAAGACAACGCAGCTCTTGCTTGGGCCTGGATGGGCGGTTTTGGGGAGAAGGAGCTACCCGAAACTTACTCAGGAGGTTACCAGATGAAAAGAACAGCAGGCACCTCACTATGTTCCCCGTCTCGCTGCTTTGGGACATTTTCAGGAGCGTTTGGCTAATTTCTGCAAAAAGTCTCATTGAGCCAGAGTCAGCGGAAGCACCATGAAAATAGGTGGCTTTGAGATTATTATTGTTTCTTTAATGGATCGCAGTGCTACTGCAATTGTACCTTTTGTGCGCATTTCTGTTGCAGCATCAAACGTTTTTTACACACACTGTCTGGGGCCGCATCGACATCCTGTGTGTGGAACATTCAACTGGTTTTGCAAAACTTTCCCTAGGTTGGTAAAGACCCACAGAAAAGCCATTTTGCTCCAGAAATGAGAGGCAGCAGCTGCCTCTGGGTTTCTTTTGTGGCATCGGTTTTACCAGGGCACCCAAAGACACTGGATACAAAGAGGACGTCTTGCCTCCTTCCCCAGGGAGTTGGAGTTCTGTTGAAGGCAGAAAATATTGAGTGTGCTTCTCTCTGCCCAGCTGGTGAAGTTTGACCTTTGCATTAAGGTCTCTGGAGCTGGATTGTACCTACCTGATCAGCTCGATGCCAAGATCTACAATTAAGCAACTCCACCTGCTCTGGTCAGGACAGCGAGGAGACACCAGTTGCCTTTTCCTCCTATCTTACAGTCTCAATCAGGGGTCAGCAACCTTAAACACTCAAAGAGCCATTTGGATACATTTCCCACAGAAAAGGAAACACCGGGAGCTACAAAACCTACCAGGGGTTGAAAGGTTCAATAAATCGCGTGCCAGCAGGTATAGCACATTGGCAGTTGTGACGCATATTTTGAGTGACAAGGAGCCTCAGCAGAGGGATGAAAGAGCCACATGCGGCTCCAGAGCCACAGGTTGCCAACACCCGGTCTAAATTCATGGGCAGTTTATTCAGCTATGAGCAATGTTCTTCTCTTGGTTTATTCTCTCTGAAGGAAGCCTTTCATAAGCCTGTCAACTTTTGCTTCTTCTCGTCTCATGGATTTCCCACGATGGACATTCAAAGGAGCGACTGTCCATTGGTAATGCCTACGGAGGTTCTTGGTTGTCCCAAAGGTGCTTCCCCCCCCCCCAAAAGGCAACTGGGCAGTTTTGAAGAACTGAAGAAGAACTGAACAAGCTTCTTGGGTGAGAAGCAAAACATCTTCAAGGGAAAACAGTCCAGTTGCTTTTTGAAAAAGCACCTTTGGGGTGATCCATTGCAAATGTTTCTGGGTTCATGTTTGGCCTCAACTCTGAGGATGCTCTCAGGGCCCTTCTGGGGTCAGCGCCAGGCCCTTTGCAACTGGTAACCTGACATGGTTTGGGGAAACGAATCCTTTTTGTCATGTGCCCAACCTTTCGCTCCATCTCTTAGGAGCTGATAAGATATCACAAAGAAGGACATGGGATTTGCAACAAGACAATGAAATTATTTGTGTTCATGGCTGCAGAATGAGAGAAAGTCCTTTGATCTACCCTTCCATCCTTACTGCAAAGCAGAGGGAGAAAAAAAGCAACCGCTATTTTTGGCCCACAAGGAAGCGGTTTTGATACCGCTATGCAATTTTTTTTATTTTTTTTTAAAGAAAACCAGGTGTCTTATATAACCTCTCCCTCCCTCTTTTTAATGCAAATGTGCAAATATCATGAAAGGCTTAAAGAGAATTGCTGTGACTAAGCAGAACGGTCCTATTAATAGCCTTTATGGGGATCGTGCAGATGGTCCAAGCAAGGAGATGGCAGGTCGAAGCACGTGGATTTCACCCAGTTTGGAAGAGGCCAGGTCGGGAATTGCAGGCCAGGAGGATAGGCAGGAGGTCCTCGACTTTCAACCACAACCGAGCCCCCAAATTATCAGATGGTTCTTAAGTGAGTTTTGCCCCATTTGATGTCCTTTCTGTGCCAGGTTTGTTAATCAAATCCCTGAAATTCTGAATTGTTAAGTGAATCTGGCTTCCTCATTGGCTTGTCTTGTCAGGGTTGCAAACGGAGATCATATGACCCTAGGACTTGTGTGTGTGTATGTGTGTGAGTGTGTGTGAGTGTGTGTGTGTAAGACATTGTTTGGGTACTTAACAGGTCAGTGGACATGCATGAAAGAAGAAAAGGACAAAGAGGCTATCACCCAGCCTGCCTCCTCAGCCTAACACGCTTCGAATCTGTTGGGTCATACTCCACTGAAAAGCTGACGTAGGAGGAATACACACACACACACACACACACACACACACACACACACCATTCATGGGCAGAACTTAAATCGTTCCACACTTATTTATAGAGTCTGTTCAAATAGATCCTGGAAAATGGTCCAAAAGAAAGATCACTCTGTCTTAAGAAACAAGAGAGACGTCATCCTCCTGCTGACCTTCCTTTCCCCTAAAGTAGGGATTTCCCCAAACCTGGCAACTTGAAGACTCATGGACTTCAACTCCCAGAATTCCCCAGCCAGCATGGCTGGGGAATTCTAGGAGTTGAAGTCCACCAGTCTTAAAGCTGCTAAGTTTGGAGACCCCTGCCCTGAAGGATGCATTGCTAAATGCACATGGAAGCCAACAGATTTTCCTGAATGCCCACCAGTTGAATATTGGCCTTTTCCATGCAGCAGAAGGGGACAGAACCAGGGGTGGGATTAAGCCGGTTCAGACTGGTTTGGCAGAACTGGATGTAAAATTTACATCTAGTTCGCTGAAATGGTAGTTGAACTGATCGGCTGATCCCACCCACCCCACTCAGCCCCTCCCAGGAGTCTCCACACTTTGGATGCAAGTAAGTGCAGGGTCCATGCAGAGGCTCTGGGAGGGCGAAAAACAGCCCTCCCGGAAGTTCTGGTAGGCCACGCCCACCATGGCCACGCCCAATCCCAGCAACTGGGTAGCGAACCGGTTGCTGGGATTTTTGAATCCCACCCTTGGACGGAACCACCTGGAATTGGCAGCAAAGTGGATGTGGACCTTGGCCTCCATGTAGGAGGACCTTTTCACGAGTAACTTCATTGGGGATAAGGAGAATCACCTCAGTATCTTGTTACCTACACGAAAGCCTCCTTATGTAGTCCAAACCCACAAGTCTGGTAGCCCCATTTTGGTGATGAGGATAGACCTCCAATAGCTGCCTTTCCCACCAGTGCTTGGGACACAGGATGGAAGTTGTGCTCCCATCAACTTCATCCAGCATGGGGACGATGGCAGTAGAAGCTCAACGAACATGGTGGGCACCCGGTTGGGGAATAGTGTGAGAACACAATGGACTTTGCCACTTGGTGCCATGGGCAAGGAATCGGTTGAAACTCTGTGGGAGAAGCGCATTGCTTCTCCCCATGTCCAGGAGACACGTGGGGGGACACAAATACAGGTAATCCTTGCCTTACACCTGCAACTAGTGTTGTGGCCCGCTGGTGGCTGGCGGAGCCAGCAGCAGAGTCAGACAGTAGTGAGGAGGTTGAGGAGGAACCTGGACCATTCCTGGAGGCTGAGGGAGGCTTGGATGACGGCTCTGCATCGGAGGCAGAGATGGGGCCAGGGCAGGCTGGCAGACATCAGCTGACTTTGGGCTTGGACAGCTGTGAGGCATGGGAGCTTCTGGAACCTGTTCCCAGCCTGCACATGCGCAGAGCTGCCAAAAGGAAGACACAATTAAGAACTCAGGGTCGACGTGGGAGTAAGGCCACAAGTGGGCAATGAATGGCCCCTCCCATCAGGATTAAAAGAGAAGCAAAAAGGGAGGGGGCTTTTACAGGAAACAACTCGCTCGTTGGTTCATCTGTTCATTCCAGCCTCATGAAGATTTGTCTGTGTAACCCAGCCCTTTCCTGTCAGCACTGAGTGTGGAATTTTACCAGGCAGCATTCCAGGATTGATAAAGGTCTGAGCTCATTAGTCTACCTTCGCAAGACTGTTTGCCAAGCCGTTGGCTGACTGTGAATGAAATTAATTCACATTAATGTAATAAAAGAAGTTTTTGCCGGGACACAGAATTGACGTGGTGTTTTTTGGGGAGGCCTAGGACAGAACAACTGAGCCCAACATTTTGATAGTTATTAGTGAATTTTGACTGATTTTATGACCTTTCTTGCCACAATTGTTAAACGAATCACTGCAGTTGTTAAGTTAATCACACGGTTGTTAAGTGATTGTGGCTTCCCTGTTGACTTTGCTGGTCAGAAGGTTGCAAAAGGGGATTGTGTGATCTCCCTGGGATGCTGCAACCATCATAAATATGAGTCAGTTGTGAGGCATCTGAATTTTGAGCACGTGACCAAGAGGATGCCACAATGGTCATAAGTGTAAAAAGCGGCCACAAGTCCCTTTTTTTCAGTGCTGTTGCAACTTTGAATGGTCACTAAACAAGACTGCTGTAAATCAAGGGCTACCGGTGCAGTGAATCTGCAAGATTGTCTTTTGCCTGTCCTTTGACATTATGGTTCCCCTTCTATTCTCTCATCGAAGTCATTTAGGAAGAAATTGAAGAGTCCTGGGCCTCAGGCGGAACCTTGTGGGATCCCACTGCTTACTTCCCTCCATGTAGACGTAGACCCATTAAGGACTACTCTTTGAGTACGGTTTGCCAGCCAGTTATGAATCCATCTGGCGGTGATGCTATCCATCCCATTTTTCTTCTTCTTCGATGTGCAAAAGGACAGCGATGAGTGGAAACGGTTGACCAAACTTTCAAGAAAAACCAACTCTTCCCCATTACAATTTGAAAAGTGTAAGCGATCCATTTTATTTTTCACAGCCAGGGGCTAAAAAGGGGTTCAGAAGAGAGCTGTTGTACTTCAGGAGAGACATGCACAGAATCTTAAAACATGCCCAGTTTAAAACAGTGCCTCCTCCTCCTCCTCCTCCTCCTCCTTCCTCATTACAAAATAGCCAATCTGTCTGCCAAGACGGGAAAAAAGGAAGAATCCTTCCTTGTGCTGCATTTCTCTCCCTCCGCCCCCCACCTTCCTGCATCCCCCCATCCCCGGACGGATGCCATCCTTGGAAAACAGGGGATCCTCTCTTGGGGTGTCCGGCCTCGGAGACACAACGGGGGGTCTTCCGAAAGCAGCGGCTGTGTTCCTAACACAGCAAAAGCAGAGCTGCTGGGATCAGGAGCAGAGAGACCCAAGGAGACGAAGCAGCTGGGCTTCCCAAGGTGGCTGCAACAACCAAGGAGGTTTCCCAGGAGTAGGGAAGGAGGACCGTTGGGAAAGGGTCGGGAGGGGTTTTTTTGGGAGGGGAGGGGAGAAAGGAAAATGTCACGGGCGGGAAAAGTGGACATTTCCATTGGGATCCAAAGTGACACGTAGGGCAACGAAAAGGGACAACGGTGGATCGAAGGGAAGGGATCAGGAATAAAAATAAAAAAAGAAAGAGAGAGAGAGAGAGAAAGAGAGAGAGAGAGAATAGTTAAAAGAAAAAAATAGGTCATAAATACAGAAAAAACCGATAAGAATTTTAAAAAGTTTTTGTTTAACTCAGCATAAATCAAAAGAAAAAAAAATGTTCAAAAAGTTAGAAGAACAGAGCAGCGGAAGCAGCAGCAGAAGCAGCGGCAATGATGGCAATAGAGGAAGCGTGATGGGGAGGACAACAGTAAAAGGGGGGTGGGGGGGTGAGAGAGGGTGGGGAAGGATGGGGGGAGGATTGGGGGCAGCTGACACCGAAGGGGGCGAAGGGCAGAGGTTCCTCCCTGTGGGGCTGGGGAAGGAGCCGGTGGGATCCAGCACAGGAGAGGGGTCATGTCATGGTTGAAGTGCCCCAGGCCTCCTTAGAACCCTCTTCCCCGCTATGCCTTCAAAGACACCTTGCATGGAGCAAATGTTGGCAACCAGAAGCTGTGAGAATTCCCAGACTAAAGGGACCCTGGAGGTTTTCTAGTCCAACCAGGCAGAAAAACCTACGCCCTTTCAGACAAACTCTTCTTGTCCAAACTCTTCTTAAAAGCTTCCAGTGTTGGAACGCCGACAACTTCTGGAGATAGTTCGAAGTAATACAGCCCAGACTTATCTTAGGCTAGAGTTCCTAAACTAAGCCTGTTGGACTTCGTGAGTTTGCTTTCTCTTAAATTCAGTATCCAGCATTAGGTAGGACAGCCGGTCGAGTCCTAGGCAGGTTGTCCAAATTAAAGTTTCTCTTTGCATCTCTTGACCGAACACACCTATGTTTGGTCAAGTAGGAATCTAAGTTGTGTCTGAGAGATTTTTTCCTGCTTTCTAAGGTTGGAGGACCAAATATGCAGCAAGTAGGGATGGATACTACCTAGTTTATTCAAGGCCTCTATCACAGTGGTGGTATTTCTACCAGTTCGGCCCGGTTCAAACAAACCGGCAGTAAAAAAAATGCTACTGTTTGGCTGAATTGGTAGTAAAAAAACAGCTACCGGTTGGGCCAAACTGGTATTTCTTTTTTTCCCCTCCCGATAATCAGCTGTTCCAACAATCAGCTGTGCTGAGATCCCCCTCACTGTCCTACTGCTTTGCCCCGGGGGCTTTTCACCAGCCAAGAATGTCATTCAACCTTCTGCTAATTCTAAAATAGCGACTAGAAGTTATAAGCACCTGCCTTCCTCACCACTGCATTTTTGGCCATGTTTACTGAGATGGCCTGGGACTTGGGCACCAACTGGGGAGGGTTTTACTGAGCAAATGCACAAGATCAAGATTTCAGTAGGACCTTCCTAGTGGAATGTCAAAGTTCAGAGTTAGCCCACTTCAGAATTTGCCACATAAATTTGTCTCTGAGCATTTGGAAAATGAAATGTGAGGCCTTAATGCCAAATTTCAACCCACCGGGACGGATCTCATACAAACTGGAGGTTTTTCAGGGGACTGGGAAAACAAAATGAACGCCAGAGGACAGGTCAAGTTAAGAAGTTGTGGATTCAAAAATTTTTGCCAACAGAATGATGTTAAAAATATACCTGGAGCCAGTCTCCCATTCCACTCCCCAATCAGATTTATTTCAAATGGAGCTGCACAATTTGTCTTTCAGAGAAACCAAGGTGAAAGGGGTGGGTGGGGGAAGCATTAGAATTGCTGATGTGGCTGAATGAATCGTCAGTTGTTTTAGTATGTTACTGGACACTGGGATAATGAAACTGTCCCTTCGAGTGAAATATAAATCTTTGGCTGACAAATCGTATCAAAGACCCATTGCAGCCTAGGTTGTACAGAAAGACAGAGAGAAAGAGGGAAAGTGGGAAAGAGAGAGAGAAAGAAAGAAGACAGAGAGACACAGAGAGAGGAGGGAGGGAGGAAGGAAAGGAAGAAAGGAAAAGAAGGGAAAGGGAAAGGAAAGGAAAGGAAAGGAAAGGAAAGGAAAGGAAAGGAAAGG